CAATGATTTCTTGTGAATGTCTTTTTTATATGTGATCAGAAGATCCAAAATTTATATATATTTTGTGGAACAAAAGTTCAGTCTCATTTATTAATATTGACAAAGTAATTTATAAATTTAACTGCAAAGATTATATATTTTTTATTATTTGCATTAACAAACATTCCTAAATTCCCACTTTTAAAGAATTCACTAGACAACTTATTGTTCAGAAATATCTGATCAGATTAAATTTCTACTATCACTTGTCTAGAAAACCTAGACACTCCTATTTTTGAATCTTTAATCTTTTCAGATTCTTCTCAACTAATTTGTTAGGTTTGACTTGCTAGTTTTGTGAAAGAAGAAATACACTTTTCAAATAGTTCTTAATAGACTTGATACAGTTATCAGTTTTATATCTTTCCCAGATTTGTTTGTGTTCAGCTGTATTAATTGTACCTTTTATAGAAAGAAAACCCTGTTTAAAATTGGAAATGAAAAAATCCTGTTTGTATAAAATCAAAATGAAGATGATCAGTATTTTCTTATATCTGGTTATATTTTGCATTATAAATAGTTTTTTTCATTCCATAAATCTTTTATATGGTACTCATATAGTATTGAGATATGGATCTTGCGATTATGACCTGAAAGTACTACCACTGTACTATAGATCCACAGGTCCCAAAATTTATATATATTATATCTTAATACTATTTTTATTTTTTATATTTTTTTTTAAAAAAATTTTATAAGTAATTTTTAAAGTTTTATTATTGTAAAAAAAAATTTTTTTTATTAAATTTTTATATTTGAATAATTTTGATTGATTGTTATTACAAATTATATAATAATTAATAAAAAATAAAAATATTTAATAATAATAAAACTTTTAAAATTATTTACAAAAAATTTTTTTAAAAAAATATGAAAAATAGAACAAGTATTAAAATATAATATATATAATTTTTATAATTTTTAATTGTATAATTAATTATTTAAAAATTGATAAAGTTAAAATTTACAATAAAAACATATTAAGTGAATTCAAACTTTTGGAAGTAATTATATATTAAAAAAATTTTTTTAAGTAATTTTATTTTATTTATTAGTTATCAAGTTTTAAATAAAAATTATAAATCAATATTTGTTCAAAGACTTTTATACCATAATATAAATTTTTAATTTAATTATTTATAAATATTTTATTAATTAAAATTGTTTGATATTTTATTTTTAAAACTTTAACTTTTATTTAAATATTTTTTTTAGTTTAAAATTTTATTAATGGATTTTAAAATTTATTTTATTAATTCAATATTTTTTAAATAAAAAATTCTTTTTTAAGAGTTAAGTAAATAGTATTAGAATATTCAATTAATTATATAATTTTTGTTGTTTTAAAATATAATTTTTAAATAAAATTTTAAAAAATTACAATTGTTTTTATTTAATAATATATAATAATAATTTATTATTTGAATAAATTTTAAAATTTTGATTAAAAAATAGAAAAAATTTTTTTATTTAATAATATATAAAATATAATTAACAATATATTTATTTTTAAACCTATAAATCTATAGCACAATAATAGTACTTTCAGATCACAATAATAAAGTCTAGAGTTTAATATCATATAAGAGTCATATAAAAATTTATAAATTGAAAAAATTATTTATAATATAAATATAACAGGCATATAAAAATATTTATTATTATTATTTTAATTATATATAAACAAGATTTTTTTTATATCTAGTTTTAAGTAAGTTTTTTTTTCTAGTAAATGGTATAATCATCAAAAAAGTTGAACATAAACTATTCTGAAAAAGGTACAAAACTGATAACTATATAATGTTTATCAAAAACTATTCAAAAGAAATATTTTTATTTTCAAAAAACTAGCAAATCAAGCCATGGCAAGTTAGTTGAAAAGAAGTTGGAAAGATTGAAGATCCAAAAATAGAAGTGTCTAGATTTTTTAAATAGGTAATATTAGAAATTTAATCCAATCAGATGCTTCCAAGCAACAAGTTACCTGGCGGATCCTTTAAAAGTAGGGTTCTAGGGATGTTTGTAATGTTAAATTATAAAAATATGTAATCTCTACAATTAAAGTTGCAAATTATATTATCAAAGTTAATAAACAAGGTTGAACATCCATTTCAAAAAAAAAAAAAAAAAAACAATTTTTTATTTATTTATTTTATTTTTTTTTTTTTGTTTCATTATTGTCAACAACTCTTTATTTAAATTATTGTTTATCCTAGAAACTTTTGTATATTATATCTAATATTTCTTTGTGTTGGGGTTTTTTTTATTTTATTTAATTTTTAAAAGGTAAACTGAATAGAGTAATAATATTTTAAATGTAAACTAAAGCAAAAGGATAATTGAAATTATTTGAAATTGAACTAGGTTATTAGAAAATTTTCAAATGATGTTTTTGTCACCTTCAAAAATAATTATCCAGATAATCGTTTAATTTAGAACGAAATCTTGCATAAAAAATATTGGAGTTTTTTTTTTTTTTCGCATTAATTAATTATAGCATTTATCTTGAAACAGAAAATTTAGCTATTAATTATCTTAGATAAGTTTAGAAAATAAAAAACCGTGCATTCTATTTTAACTAGTTATTTTTTATACGAGCATTATTAAAAAAAGAGATTATATAAAGCACGCACGTGCGTATGACTTGCACAAAAATCAAGCCTCGCAATTGTTCTTCGCGAACTTATAAAGAACGCTTCCGAGCATGAAAATTTTCAAATTCTTCAACCTCCTTTCTTCCCCTTCGTACCTGGTCAAATGTTCGACAATCTCCCCTTTTAGGTTCCGACATTTAAGAAATTTCAGTTTTTCCAAATTTTCACATTCTAGTATTTCTTCTAACTCGCAATTTTTGAAGTTCACATAGCTGAACTGCAAATGTCTCAATGTTTTTTTTTGTGATGCAAGTGATTTGATGATGGGAGAAGTGTCCCAACACGAGATAAATATTTTAAGAGATTTAAGGCGGGATTGCGAAGAAACCCATGAGGAGGCGGAGATCGAATTGTTAAATGACGGATTGACCCCGTATGAAAGAGAATCGTGACCGTGGAGACCTAAGCTTATTTTCCTCTTCGGTTTTGATTTCAAAGAATATATTATATTACGTCAGGATAAGAATGGTTCGAATGTTTGGTGGCACTTGGAGGCTTTTCTCTCAGATACATACCACGTTTTGACAATGTTTACTTAGGCCACAAAAAAATTTCTCCATCTTGAAATGCGTGTGCACTATAATCTTCCTAATAGGTTTCAACATATCCTTGAATTCATCATCGATTAATATTAAAAAGTACTCCTCGTCGTAAATACTTTTCCCATATGTTTCTATTATCAAACGATTCAGGTATATGGAACTCTCGCAAAATAACAACAAAAGGGATCTCACCACGGCAGAAATGTTCTTATGATCGGAACCATCTTTCTGCCTCATATTGCACCATTGAATTATTGACAACAGGAATTCTGAGTAATTCAATTGTTTTAAATATATGGAATAGTTGGTGAATACTGGTCTCGAGACGTAGGAAACATCAAGACCTTTAGACTGTAAATTTTCGAGGCATGATTTATTTAAACAAGATAGATACGTCGATATGATATTCATATTTCCAATGGACAAGCCGCAAAATGGCCTTGCCCAGATGTAAGAGAGGGCCACCTCACACCAATCCTTATTGACTGTCAAGTATGGAACGAAAATTCGAATTTGATCTTTGTTAAAATACGAAAATATTTGATCTATTATGTCGAGGGGAATGATGCGTGGAGATGGTGACATTTTTGAATAATTGAATGCTACTTTAATATTTATTGCAAGGTAAAATTTACAAAAAAAGAAAAAAAAAACGAATAAAATCATTTGCACCGAATTATATATGTATAGTATTGTGCACAAATTAATGTAAGTTACACGTTGAGTATGTGATATCGTTTACGCCACATCCTCTAATAAATTTAACATCCTTCATAACCGGATCATCTCTTAGAGGAAAGAGGAAATGATATGAGGTCTGCATTTTGGACGATCCGAAAGGAGTCTCAATTTCATTGACAAAATGCACACCGTAAGATCCTAGGAAACTTAATAACGATCGATAATGAACTGAATAAAGACAAATTTCTACGAATCATTTCTTCACGTGCTTAAATCTTTTCAGCGTTTCAATTCTCATAGCAGAGTGGTCAATTATGGGCTCGGGATACCTAACAATCGTGGGAAACGAGAATCAGTTAATTTTCATTCTGTTAACATTTGCCACTTATGCGATCATATTCTTTCAAGAAAGTTCACCCTAGCTTTTTAAATTCCGATTCGGGTAAAGATTTGAAAGGATCGTGAATATCCTTGGGTGAAAGGTTTCTTAATTCTGGCACCCATTTCCTGATGTAATCTCCGTTGGGGTCAAACTACGTATGCATGAATAAACAGTGTTGACTTATCGCAATTTACCATACGGCGCATGTGAAATACCTTTTGACTTTGGGTGATCGGGTTAAAAATTCTGAAATAGGGCTTATCAATCCACGCGAAAGATAATTGTAAGGACATTGAAAATAAAATGAAATGAAAATTACTGTGCTCAGCAAATGACCTTTACCTGAGCGTCAGATCCCGTAGAGGCACACTAGAAATTCCGGGAGAAAGGCGATGATGAAAATGAAGTCTAACCCATAAACCGTAAAACACACAAAAAATAAATTTACCCATTGCCATCCGCCATTATTATTCGCGAAATCTCCGTCGATCAAATGATTCATAAAATATCTCTCTCCATTTTTCCAGTTGATAAGCAGGTCTATGGTGTCATTATTGAACATCGTTTTGACCAGAGTTAGTTCAAAATAATTCCAAGTGTACCATAATATTGACATGGGGGATTTACCTTTGACTAAGAACATTGCAACAATCATGCGTGCACGGTTATGCATCCACCCACTTCCGTTCAGTTGACGCATTCCTAGATCCGTAAATTGTGAATTCGTTCCCAACTAAACTGCAGAGCCGAGGGGTTTGTTGTTTTACCTGCATCGACAATCGGATAACCAGTTTTTCCCTGGCACCATCTTTGAAAATGTTCCTCGTCATCATTCCATTCAATGTTGTTCATGTGTAATTTGAAAGGTTGATTCTTACAAACGTGAGGAAATCCCACTAATACATGACGATAGAATTCTCTCCACACTATTTCCTCGATCCATTTTACAACACCAATCTTTCCACCCGAGAGTTTTCTACTATTTGCCAAATACGCCTCCAACACGCATTGACGGGTCGAAATAATTCCTGATGCAATGTATGGAGATAAACTTGATGTTCCATCTTGTGAAGGAATATCTCTGGCCTCATGATACTTGTCTATTCGATCCGAAATGAATTGTTCGAGTCTTCGATGAACCTCAGATTCTCCTGCGGGAAAATTTTCTTGAGCACGGGTGGGTATTGTGTCTAAACTAAACTTCGGAATTAACTCGGGTATGTCGAACTTGAAAGTTTCTGGGTGTGAATCTAGGATTTCGCTAGAATTCGCGAAAGGATCGGGAACCAAATCCAACAGAGAAATATTTGAACCGACAAATTTGATCCAAGAGTTTTTGAAGGGTGTATAGACTGTATAGGTCTTGCCCTCCTATTTTATTATTATTATTATTATTATTATTCCAATAAAAGATCGTGCATTCTGTTGATTAGATGTTTGGACCAATGGGATAATGAGAATGCGAAGATTACTTTGTTCTTTCCAACCTTTGTTAAAAGTAACCCTGGCTCTACGACGCATTGTGAATGTAAAAATTCAACTTTAATTGAATTCACGATGGCCGTATTGAGCAGTCGATTGTCCCTTCTCATTTCGTCCACCTACATAGTAATAAAAATTGTGAAATTCTAAAATCTCAAGGCTCATCTTCACGGAAACTTTAACGAATACCGACCTCATACTCCTTATTGGCAAACACATGACTCACATTCAATCTTTGACACCATTCGATAACGGTGGAGGCTACATTTTTGGCATTCTCCACAATCTGAACGATCAACGGGATGTTTAACTCCAGCAACTTTTTCCTTAACTCTCTCAAATTGCGAATCCAAAAATCGACTCGCGCGGGTGAGATATCATGGGACTTCCATTCTTCGGGTGATATGATAAACAATGCGAAAAGATAATTGCCCTGGGGTGTCCCCGTGGCAGTGGCGACAAGCGACGAAGCTCGATACAACGCGACATTATCTTTTACCCTTAAATCTGTTCTAAACCACATCAAACAATTTCTAACACTGGTGCCTTTTTCATTAATACACGATGATCCACGTTTCGTTGGCGGTTCTGTGGATCCATCAGCAGCAGATAACTTTCTGGCCGATGAAGTGACGAGCTTTTGTTTTTTGGTTCCCTCTCCTGCAACTTTCCCATCATTCGTACGTTCGCTCCCGTCGTCCAACTGTTTGGTAAAATTAACGGAAGTTGAACGAGCTCTCTTTGACGACATTTTTTTGCAAATGTGCGATATAAAGTTAAATATCTATCTATCTAATCTTCTTTATGTGTGCTAAAAAAAAAAAAAAAATTATTATTTCAAATTGAGAGAAGCGAAGAATTAATTTATTTATTTATATGATCAAAATGAACTGCGATCGCGCAAACTTGTCAATCGGCATTTTGTTCATTGTCGTACGATCGATTTTTTGTTTATGAAACCATTAAAAATTCGATTTAAAAACAAAAACGCCTGTGATTTTATGTTATACTGTCTATTACCTTAAACCAAATCTTCGTACAAATATGATTATCCCGATCTCGAGCCAAGGTTCACACTGACGATCCTCCCTCATTTTTTCGTAATACGTAATTTGCGATCGAAATTGTCTTATTTTAACGTCATCAAGTGGTCACCAAAAATTACAATGGGTAGTTTGTTAAGATGCATTTTCCGGCTTTAATAACGTTTTGTGTTAAAGCGTGAACTAACTAAAAATTATTCAATTAATAATATGCATTTTGAATACCGGGTAACTTGATTAAACCGGATATACAGTATCGCGCACATGCTATTCGATAAATTTTGATAAATTAACAAATTACACTTAAAAGAATTATAACAATCAATTTTCATTACAAGATTTCTTAAAATACTTATATCAAAAGTGATACAATTTTATATTTCAAAACAAAAATGAAGTATTCAAAAAAAAATTTTTTTTTTTTTTATTTTTAAACCACAACTGCTATTAGATGTGAACTCTTTATTGATAATACAATCATAAGTGATAACATTAATCATTTCATACAAATCTAATGTGATTTTTCTTAAGCAAGCTTACCTTATCTCTGTGAGATAGTATACTTATTTAAGGGCTGGTGGTTAATATACAGTCTTCAATGGTATTGTTGATATAGTTAGTTTAGAACTTATATGAATTTTTATATATATTAGCTTATATACTAATGTCAAATTCTTAAGAGATATTTTTAATCATCCAAATATCCTGATACTTTCACTCATTAGTCAAAAAATATTTATTTGATATAATGTCACTCATGTAATATTCATTAAAAAAAAAATAATTTGGTATATTAATTACATAAATAATTCATTAATCAATTTTTACTATATAATTTGATATAAATAAATTGTTAATCAATTTCTACTATATAATTCAATATTATTTGTCATATAATTTATATCATTTTTACTATATACAGTATTTCATTAAAAATTTTTTCAAAAATCATTAGATATTTATCAAAATTTCAATTTTATCAAAATTTATATATTTATAATTTAAAGGAATTATAGTTAAATATTTACAAGAGTCTTGTTGATTTGAGATTTTATATCTAAATGGAATAAATCAGTCAAAAATATTATAAATAAAAATTATATATTCACATCTAACTGGATAAAATTTGATACTTCATAATTTAATATTCACATTATTTTTAGATCTGAAATAAAATCTATTTTTGTCAAATTAACTTGTTTTACTATTAAATAAAGATCAATTAATATTTAATAATATTATTCAGAAAATTAACTGAATGTATAAAGAAGAATTTAACTTGTTTTAAATATAAATTAATACTTTCATTGTAATTTATAAATAGAACTAATATAAATAAGTTCTTAATATTTTATGAGAATATAATAGAATTGAATATTTTACTTCCAATTCAGTATCTGCTATATTTCTCTATTCTATTCTATTCTAAATAATCATTAAATTTTTATTATCTTTCATAAATTGCTTCTGAAAGTTCATAGTTTTATAAAATGCTTTATAGTATTTGACTAATAAATCTAATATTTAGTAAATACCTTTAAATTTGATTTTTTTAGATACAAGAGTTTACCTTGAAAATATTCAGATTCATTGATAATTGTTTCATGAATATTATATGGATTATTTAAAAATCAATATAATTTATTAGTTAAAAATTGATCTAATTCAGATATTGAGCTAATATTTGATCGATTATTTAAAATTTAAAGCTCCTGATTATTAGAATAGGATATAGTTAGATTAATAATTTAATAATCATTCATCTGTCTTTGCATTAATTCAAATTCAATATTTCAGTGACTATTAGATAATAAATCTAGATTAAAAATTTGTTGGAAACCTACTTATAATTATTAAATTTATTTAAAAATCTATCTAATATACTATTTATCCTTTCAAATAAATAATATAAAAATATATACAATGATCCATAATCATATACATAATCATATAAATATAATAAAAAATAAAGATTCAGAATAATTTTTTTTCTCATATTTTTGTTATATTAATTTAATTATTGAAACTAATCTTTTATAAGCCTCATTTAATGAATTTCATTTTAAATTTGATATATTAAAATTTGATAAATCTTGATAAAATTTGCTAAAATTTGACAATCAATATCTAAAAGATGTTTCTATAGAATTGTAGTTACATATATTATAAATAAATTTTTCCAATGATCAGTAATAAAGTTCAAAAATTCTTTGTCACTATTTACTTTTTTCAGAATTCAATCAATATCTGATAATACTTGAAATATTTTTATTATTGATTGTATTTTATTCAATGTATTATTTGTCAGTATTCCTACTTTAATTCATATTTATTTAACAAACTATTTATTAATACTTAAGAAAAGACAGTACATAGGATCAATAACTAAATACTAAATTAGATCAAAATAAAATAGGTAAAGAAACTTGAATCATTTAATATAATTCTTACTGACAAAATATTTTTGTATTACATTTGAGTTATAGTATCTCTATTTGATAGAATCTTGTTTATAAGTTATCAAATTTCTCAGTATAAATTATTTGTTATATCTACCATATCATCAAAATTGTAATAATTATTTTCATAATTGATATTCTTCTTGTAACAATGACATGACATACTTTTTGGGTTACAGAAATATCATATGAAATTAAAATTAAAGCCATCCAAGTTATTTTTTTCTCTTCATTTTTGACAGTTGAATCAAGCTTTATTCCTTGATATAATTGTATCAAGTCATTGATAATTGAATAAGGTAATAATTTATTTGATATAAACTTAGTTCACTAAAATCTCGTAATATACCAAAAATCAATATATTTTTATACTTAAATTGTATTTCATATAGAAAATTTATAATAGCCATATATATAACTCAAGTACTATGTACTTTATTATCAAATGATTTAAACAGTCAATATTTGGTATCAATTTCAAATATAAATTAGTTGTATATTTGCTAAAAAATAATTTTGAGTTTTTATCTTTAAAAGTTTTTCAAATATTACTATTATAGATATTGATAAAAGTTTATTAATACTTAATCAATTTATTCAATGCCAAAGATTAAATTCAAAATTTGGATTTTAATATATTTGCGACAATTAATATCAAATAGTAGAATATGAAAAAACTAAATTGAATAGATTAATTACTTTTTCATTTAATAATTTTGATTGTATAGATAGCGAAAAATGTAAGTTTTTCTTTGCTTTATGTTTAATTAAGAAATTCAATATAAATATATCTCATAACTGATAGTTGATTGTTTTTTTGAAAACTAATAATATTACATTGTTTATTCAATTTGTAGTATTTTTGATATATCACAAAACTAATAAATTGATTTAATAATCCAAGTATATTGTTAATAGTATACAAAGAACTATAAATGAGCTCAAATTCTTTGTTATCAATTTCAATTAGTATCAATTTCTTAAATTTTAACAGTGTATCTATTGTACTATTTAATAAATTAAAACAAATTCTACAGTAAATAATTTACAACAAAATCAATATAAAAAACTATCCAAAAATTTGCTAGAATTTGATAAAAATTCATGTTTTGAAATTGAATAATCTTTAAATATATTATCTATTTTTTCATTATCATCAACTTCAAATTCATCATTTTCAAAACTTGCATTATTTAATCTTGAATTTTGTTGATTATTACTTAATGCTATAATTTGACTTGATGAAATATTTCTTATTCTATATTGAAATATGAATTTTTCATTTGTCAAATATTTGCCTTTTGTTTTTTAATATCTATAGAAAAATTCTGGTCATATATTAATAAGTGATTCATTGTATTTACTACAATCACAAATAATTTTTATTTTTTAAAAAATTTTTTTTTAACTTTTATTAAGTGAAACTGAAATTGAACTCTTTCTTAACATTTTGAAAATTGATAAATAGTAATATAAAGTTGCAAAGTTATAATTAATATATTAAATAGCTTTAAATTATAATATAATATAAGTGTAATATGACAAATAATATATAGTATAATATAGTATATAAGAAAAACTCTTTCTGCTAATCCTCTGACCACA